AGCGGAATATGAGTTGCTGTTCCTGCAACCTTCGGGTAGCATCGTTGCAAGAGGCCCAGGATGGACATGTCGTCTGAGGAACAGGAGGGGGAGTTGAAATGGTTTGCGACTGGGAGGTGCAGTTGTTTGGTGCGAACCGAGCGTAGGTGTTCTGCAAAGCGGTCCCCAAGCCTCCACTTGGTTTCTCCGATGTAGAGGAGGCCACAACAGGAACAGTGGATGCAGTATACCACATCAGCAGATGTGCAGGTGAACATTTGCTTGATGTGGAAAGTCTTCTTGGGGCCTGGGATGGGGGTGAGGGGCGAGGTGTAGGGGCAGGTGTAGCACTTCCTGGGAAAAGTGCCGGGTGTGGTGGGGCTGGAAGGGAGTGTGGAGCGGACAAGGGAGTCATGGAGAGAGTGGTCCCTCCGGAAAGCAGATAAGGGTGGGGAGGGAAAAATGTCTTTGGTGGTGGGGTCGGATTGCAGATGGCGGAACCCATCCCAAAACCAGCCCAGCTCGTCTCCGCCTCCCTAACCTGTCCTTCCTCCCACCTATCCCCTCCTCCCACCTCAAGCCCCACCCCCATCTCCTCCCTACTAACCTAATCCCACCCCCTTGACCTGTCCGTCCTCCCTGGACTGACCTATCTCCTCCCTACCTCCCCACACTGGCTCCATCCCCGTCTCTTTGACCTGTCTGTCTGCTCTCCACCATCCATCTTCTATCCGCCTCCCCCCTCTCTCCCTATTTATTTCAGAACCCCCTTCCTCTCCCCCATTTCTGAAGAAGGGTCTAGGCCCGAAACGTCAGCCTTCCTTATCCTCTGATGCTGCTTGGCCTGCTGTGTTCATCCAGCTCTACACCTTGTTATCTCAGATTCTCCAGCTTCGGCAGTTCCTACTATCTCTGTCAGAAAACACAGTTTAGACAGAGCACCCAGCGAATGGAAACACTTGTCTGGCACTCGTGCACACATATGCACAACAGTAAAGTGTGAACACACTTGCACACAAACCCCTATTCCTTACCCAAGCCTGTGTCGTGTTTTCTGTAGTTCTCCCCAAACGACACCAGTCCGATGGAGATAGTTTGCAAGAAAGGTCGGATTGCAGGGGTAAACTGCAAGGAACAAAAAAAAATGTCAGGATTAATGTAGGGAAATAGGAACTGAAGGAATTTGTTTCCCCTCTACTCAATGGTTGAGCTGTGAGGTAAATCTGTAAAGCTGTCTTTCCCCATTGTTATGGGCCAGACCAAACCCTGTCAAAATAAATTAAGAAGATAACCTAGACCCTAACGTTTTCTTATTTTAAAGGCAAGTGACAGGCGTTGCGTTCTGGATGTAATTGGATTCGTCAAACTACCCACCTTGAACCAAAACATACTTTACTCATACACTACAGTTAAAATACAAAAGAAAGAAGGTAATCAGAATAACATAACTCTATTGGAAAACTTAACAGCTCAATAGATTATTTAACTACGAAACAGTAACTGTTCCGATATTGTAATATCCCACAAACACAGCCTTGGCAAGAGGCAAATTCAGTAAAACAGATTGTCTCACATGCAATTCTTGCAACAGGAAGATAATCCCCAGCTTTTCACTGTAACAGAGAGAGGAAAAACAGCTTCTGCGTCCAGCTTCAAGAGCCCAGCAGCTGCTACTGAAAAACTAAAAGTCCTGGATCTGTGGGAGCTTGACCCCACCTATTCAGGCTGCTTCTATTGTTCCAACTTTTGCAAAAAACCACCCAAGGCCTTACAAGCGGTTTACCTTATGGACTTTGGATAGACAGCTCGATACCGGTCTTAAAATCTCTCTCCAAAAAAACAAATCCTGAATAAACTCAGGACAAAATACACCTCTTAAAGCCAATGCCCATTAACACCTTCAGATGACAGCAGTCTGATTTTGGATTTAAAATTCACAACTGATCCAGTGTTAATTGCAGCTTTCAAAACAAAGTTCCAAACTCCCATTAGTGTTTGCATACAGAATTGACAGCTCTAACTCCAAAGTCTAGACCATGACTCCCCGTCTATCAGAAATAGTGACTCTTTATTTACTGGATCTTCTTTACAGGTAGGACATTTCCAAACAAGACCTAACCCTTAATCCTCCACCTGTCTAAGTAATACAAGCCTTGCCTACGAAATCCTCTTCCCAACGTTTATCCCCAGGAGTCATTCTGGTAAACCGTCAGTCACACTCTCACCCCTGAGCCACATGCTGCCAGGTTCGTGCCCACTCCAGGGACTCAGTGCAGAAGTTAAGGCTGACTGCTATACTTTAGCTAAGATGGTAAACCAAAGCCCCATCAGACCTGATCAGGTAGATGTAAAAGATCCTATTGAGCGATTTAAGACGACGAGCAGGGAAGTTGGTGAAAATCACATCAGAAATTGCTGGAAAAACTCAACAGGTCTGGCAGCATCTGTGAAGAGAGAAAGCAGAATTAAGGTTTCGGGTCTGGTGACCCAGTTCAGTGAGTTCTGAGGAAGGGTCACCGGTCTCGAAACATTAACTCCGCTTTCTCTCTCCACAAATGCTGCCAGACCTGCTGAGTTTCACCAGCAGTTGCCATTTTTGTGTCAGATCTTTAGCATCGCCAATTCTTTGTTTTATTTTAGTTCTCTCTGGTGTCCTGGCTCATATTTATACATCAATCAACAACATTAAAACTGATCTAGTTTTATCATCATACTGGGAGCTTGCTGTGTACAAATTGGTAGTTATATTTTGTGTCTTTCAAAGGGACACAAGGAGTCTTATTGTATATCCACTGAAAGTTACATGGCTTCTGCTGTGGATTCAACTACTTACAATCAGACTGTGTTACCTTAAGAATCATTAAATAACTCGAGGATTCCAGGACTGTGTATTTAACCCTTAAAAGGTCACTGAAATATCTATACAGAGGCGGTATGCTGTCACCAAGTCACCCTTTACTTACATGCGCATAGTACTTGATACTGGTCTGGCTTTCTCAGAGCCAGTTCTCAGACACTCCTAGGCATGGACGATAGTATAAGGTAGGGGTGGAGGTTAGATAGACCTTTGTTTTAGGGTAAAAGTTCGGCACAACATCATGGGCCGAAGGGCCTGTACTGTGCTGTACAGTTCCATGTTTTATGTTCCTGTTTATATCTGTCAGCCGGGGCTCCCTGACTGGGCCAGGCTAACAGCCAGGGCTCAGAGATAGTAAGAACTGCCGATGCTGGAGTCTGAGATAACACAGTAGGCCAGGCAGCATCAGAGGAGCAGGAAAGCTGACGTTTCGGGTCAGGACCCTCCTTCAGTACTCTATGAGGTCCACCTGACTGACTTCTTTCTAATCACCACACTCACAAGCTTCTACAGAACTGAACAGGGATCACAAGGAATTCCAGCCCAAGTGACACTCCCCTGTGGAACAATAACTCGTTGAATGTAATATATGCAACCATTTTGTCTCACTGCAATTTTGGGGAGGATTATTTGAACATCACGAGAGGTGGGGACCCAGAAGAAGGTTTCCAGGACTGATGTACTGAACCAGTCTACCAACAGCTGCAGTGCCGTTAATTAAAACAAAAGGAGTCTCCACTCACTCCTGGGATCTGTTCCCCTCAGTTCTTCAGTGACATGTCTTAGAACAAAGGGGTGCCAATTTAAGACTTGGATAAGGAGGGATTTCTTCTGTCAGAGGGTTGAGAGTCTTTGGAAGTCCTTGCTGCAGAGAGCTGTGGGGGCAGAGTCTTTGTGTCTATTTAAGGCTTACATGAACTCTTGACCAGTCAGGGAATCAAGGATTATGGAGAAAGGGCAGGAAAGTGGGTGTGAAGGGTATCTGATCAGCTGTGATCCTATTGAATGGAGGCTGTTACACTCGTATTCACTCTCATGTGAACATTGGCACTCACAGTCCCTCTCATTGATGTACTCCTCATAGACATACACCTAACAGAGCTATACATGCTCTCACACCTCCTTCTCAGACTCAGTTCTCATACTCAATTATCCCTGCACCCGTGCACTCTTCTCAATAGATGCACTCCTCATGCACATAAACACACGCAGTCTCCTTACAGACCGAATTCTATACTGAGATGAGGAGCCTGTGGAATTCTCTGCCACTGAAAGCAGCTGAGGCCAAAACATTGAATGTTTCCAAGAAGGAGATAGATATAATTCTCAGGGCTAAAGGAATCAAAGAGGAGGTGGGAGCAGTGGGAACAGGCCAGCGAGTTGGATGATCATACTGAATGCCGGAAAGGCTTGAAAGGACGAATGGCCTACTGCTCCCATTTTCCACGTACCCACGGCCAATCAGTGGAGGCACACACCTGGTGATGAAAGGAAGGGACTGGTTATGACGCTGCAGGGATACGGTAGGGGAGATTACCGGGAAGCTGTGACCTTGGGATGGGGCTGTCGAGATCCAAGGGAAACCCGTCACACAGTTAAAGCCTGGGTGCTGGGCAGTGATTCAGGCCAATGGCGTCATTGGTGCACCCATTCGGGCCTTCAGGCATACCAGAGTGATGGCGCAATTGGAGACCCAAGGTGGTCTGTCTGGGTGTGCCGTTCAGGAAGGAGATACTGGCCTCACTGGGAAGGGGCAGCGCAGATTCATCGGAATGATAAAGGGCGCTTGTATCACAAGCATAGGCTACACACAGCTGAGGCCTACCGTCTTGAGATATACACAAGTCTTGGAGGACAAAGGAGGGGACAAGACTTAAAGCCTGGGCTGACTGCCACCTCACACAAAGACGAAGGGTGCAAATCAGAAATTCCCGGCCTTCAACGACCTCCTCCTTCCGTTCCTGGGTAACGGGCTTGAGGGACCCTCCTACTCCCTGCATCACGGTCTGCAGGGGATTGAATATATCACCCCAGCCCACCCTGGTCCATAGGTCTTCTGCAGCCTTCGGTAAGTTCATTCACAGCAGGAACCGGTGACCGGGCTTACCCCAAGCTCGGGGCGAGGCAGGCAGTGTTCGACATCCTGTGGCTATCGGAGCGCAACCAGGGCTTACCGCTCCCCGCGCTTGGAGAGACAGTGGCCTGCTGGGGGTGGCGATGATTATGGTGCGACGCGCAGCACCAAGCCAAAAGGACATCGAATTATTCTCACTCACTGCAGGAGCAGGGGGAGTTGGTGAACAGTGAGGAGGAAACGTCCTGAGAGATAGGGACAGCAATGGATGCAGAGGAGGGCAGAAGCATTCCCCATTGACATCTGAGCTCAGTAAAGGCACCTCTGAATGGTTAGGTTACAACAGAAAGATTGACTTTACAGCCATTCGGCTAATATGCTCCATGCCAGTCTTTCTGCACTGCATAAGTCTCCTCCTATTCCCCTCATCATCACAAGCTTTCTTTATCACGTGTTCCGCCAGCTTCCCCTTAAAAGTATTTGTACTATACATCTCGACAACTCCCAGTGGGAACAAGTCTCACATCCTCCCCACTGCCTGGGTAAAGATATCTCTCCTTAATGCCCAGTTGGATATATCTCAAGTTACAGACAGAGATAAGTTCCATCATGATGGTGTGGGGGTTTCGATCAGTTTTAAGTAAATACCAGGAAGCCTACGTGTGATAGCTGCGGTTCAGTGTTGTGTGCAGTGCCAAGGCTGTGGAGAGAGTGGAGGCTGTGAGCTCAGATTCGCTGACACTGCAAACAGCCAGTACCAAGCACAGGCAGACACTGATCATGAGCTGCTCCTAATACAACATCAATGGACCACTTCACAAGGGGCTTCTCTGACAGTGAGGCAGTTGTTTACAACATTAATTCTGCTCAGTTGCAGGAGGTACAGGGCGGGAGAAGAGATGAGCAATAGGAAGCAAAAAAAAACATCAGAAGGGGAAACAACGAGAAACCTGCTTCTCGTTTTGGGACTGAAACCAAATGTAGGAGTTGTTAAGACTGTTGAGAAGGGGTAGGCTCGTGTAAGGATGTGTGTGCATACAGAGTGCCTTTATGAGGAACGTATGTGAATGAGGACTCTGTATGAATGTGTACGTACATGTCTATGGTGTGTGTGTGTACAAGGACTGTGTGTGTATGTATGTGACTGTGGCATTTGTGAATGAGAACTGTGTGTGTATGTTGCGTGTGTTTACG